TTCCTGATTCTTTAGAGAAGAATTAGCACACTATGCTGGAAGGACTTTGGGCTTTGGGTGTTAGTGGTATAAGTAGAAGATAGGTTGCTTACTTAGCTCATGGGATGCTTGAATGACACTGTACACCAGTTCTGTTGATGCTTCCTTTGAACTGTGGCTCGTATTCTTTGCCAGCCCAAGCCAGGCTTTTACCATCTCATGTATGAAATACAGCAATAGCTCCACACAGGTCCTCTCTAGTCCATCCTGAGCACCACCAAAGGAACCGTTACCCCAATATGCCACTTGGACATACCTTTTTTCTGCTTGCCCCCACATGCCTTACCTCCAATATTTTTCAATCTTTTTTACTTTAGAATGCCTTTTCCTCTCTTCTAGGAAACAACACAAGGAATAAGTGTGTGCGTATGTATGTGTGTGTATTTAAACACATTCTTATATAAAAATACAGGAGGATGTAAAGCATCTGTCACACTCGTCCCATGCTCCCTGTTCTACCCTTCACTTTTTTGTATACATATACGCTCCTATACAGATATATAGTTCTGGATTTTTCAACATCAGTTGGATCATTTTGTATAGATAATTAAGTAGCTTGATTTTTTTAAAACATAACAATATTCCCTGAAGCTTTATTCATATCTACGTATATAAAGGTATTTCATCTTTCTACAGTACTGCATGGAATTCCATGGTACGGGTATATCATAAATTATTTAACCATTCTCCTAATGGTGGACATTTGGATGATTTTGAAAATTTTGTTGTTGCAAACAGACAATAATAAACATCATTGACATCTTTGTGCATCTCCCTAAAAGACACTGTCAATTGACACAAAACTCACTTCTCTACATTATTAAAATGTAGGCATCTGGTGGATAAAAATGATGGCTCGTTATTGCTCAGTAATGTTTCAGGCACTTAGTGTTATTTTTTTTTTAATGAATCAAGTTTTTCTTCATGTAGGTTGGCATTACAAAAGTGTTTGCTGAAGTTCTACCCTCCCACAAAGTTGCTAAGGTGAAGCAACTTCAAGAGGAGGGGAAACGGGTAGCAATGGTTGGAGATGGAATCAATGACTCCCCAGCTCTGGCAATGGCAAATGTTGGAATTGCCATTGGCACAGGCACAGATGTAGCCATTGAAGCAGCTGATGTGGTTTTGATAAGGGTAAGTCCTGTGGTAACCTCCGAGGAGCACGAGACTGCCCTACATGGGCAGTGATGGCATAAAGTGAATTGAGTGCAGTGATTCTGCCCTAATTCACATAGAATGAGAGAATCTGGGGGGGAATATGGGAAGTCTTACTAAATTTACCTACTGACTTTCTCAATTCAGCATTGCAAATGAGAATCACAAACTTCTAAAGTGAAGGATTAAGATTTATACGTCTATTTGTAATATAATTATCTGTATCAAATATTTGCTGAGGTTATTTTAATGAGATTTAATCATTGTACCAACACACAACTGTAAAAGTATTTTAGAACCTTGGGAAAAATTTCTGAAAAACATCTTCCAAGTTTGGGTCAGAGTTTTAGCAATATCTGCTATTTGTAGTTAATTCATATATTACCCTAAAGAACACATAATCTTCAATATACACAGTATAAAATATAGAAATTGCTAGAAAAGTTAGAGTCTTTCACTAATGTCACAAATATTTCTGTTCTCAGAATGACCTTCTGGATGTAGTGGCAAGCATTGACTTATCAAGAAAGACGGTCAAGAGGATTCGGATAAATTTTGTCTTTGCTCTGATTTATAATCTGATTGGAATTCCCATAGCTGCTGGTATGTGACTCTTAACTGTTAACTGCTTTTTCCACTGAAGTCATTAGAAACCTCGCATATTGGAAGTCTTAGTCTTATTGTTAGTTTTGAGCTTAGTTTTTGTATGTAGCCTGCTGGTGTGCTACAAGGTAATAGTAAAACCAATAGTTTCCATTTTTTGGCAAAGTTCATTATAGCCTTAGATAAGTTTCTTTTCTTTTTCCCTCCAACTTTATATTTTGAAAAATATCAAACCTACATAAGCACTGGAAAAAAATGGTACAATGAGAATCTGTATACCCTTCTTCACCTAAGCTCTATCTCTTTCTCCATATACATACACATATGTATTTACTTACTTATTCATTTATATTTTTTTGCTGAAGAGAACAACCAAACACAACCACTGTTAGTGTTTTGTGTTTCCTTCTAATCTTTTTCACCCTGTAAATATAGTTGTGATTATAGCGTACAGATAATTTTCTGGGGCTGGCAGAGTGTGAGGACCTGAGTTCAAACTCCAGTACCGCCAAAAAAAAAAAAGTGAGAATTTTCTGCTTTTCACTTGCTACTGCATTGTAGTCAACAGGAGGTCTTTTAGGTTGAGAGACCAAATGAGAGAGATTGATTAATGATCAATAAATAATAATTTAGAATTTCTTAGTGAGCATCTGAGAATCTCCGAAATTTAGAGACTTAGGAAGAGTAATGGCAAGAGAAATAGTTACCACCTTCTTCTTATTCCCTTTGGTTTGAGAGTCACAAAAAGACAGGAAATTATATGAAAATAGTTACAAAGCTATTTATCAACAAGGACACACAAATGCTAAGAGAATAAAAAGTATAAGAACAGTCAAAGGCAGTAAGATTAATTCATGGAGCAAGTGATTTTCATTTTATTTTATCTATTTATCTATCTATATATCTATTTATTTATTTATTTATTTATTTTTGAGACAGGAATCTCCCTTTGTATCCTAGGTTGGCATCGAACTCACCATATACCCCAGGCTAGCCTCCAACTCTTTCTTTTTTTATTCTTTTATTATTCATATGTGCATACAAGGCTTGGGTCATTTCTCCCCCTGCCCCACCTCCTCCTTTACCCCACTCCCCCTCCCTCTCCCCCCACCCCCTCAATACCCAGCAGAAACTATTTTGCCCTTATTCTCTAATTTTGTTGAAGAGAGTATAAGCAATAATAGGAAGAACAAGGTGTTTTTGCTGGTTGAGATAAGGATAGCCTATACAGGGAGTTGACTCACATTAATTTCCTGTGCGTGTGTGTTACCTTCTAGGTTAATTCTTTTGATCTAACCTTTTCTCTAGTTCCTGGTCCCTTTTCCTATTGGCCTCAGTTGCTTTAAGGTATCTGCTTTAGTTTCTCTGCATTGAGGGCAACAAATGCTAGCTAATTTTTTAGGTGTCTTACCTATCCTCACCCTCCTTGTGTGCTCTCGCTTTTATCATGTGCTCAAAGTCCAATCCCCTTGTTGTGTTTGCCCTTGATCTAATGTCCACATATGAGGGAGAACATACGATTTTTGGTCTTTTGGGCCAGGCTAACCTCACTCAGAATGATGTTCTCCAATTCCATCCATTTACCAGCGAATGATAACATTTCGTTCTTCTTCATGGCTGCATAAAATTCATTGTGTATAGATACCACATTTTCTTAATCCATTCGTCAGTGGTGGGGCATCTTGGCTGTTTCCATAACTTGGCTATTGTGAATAGTGCCGCAATAAACATGGGTGTGCAGGTGCCTCTGGAGTAACCTGTGTCACAGTCTTTTGGGTATATCCCAGAGTGGTATTGCTGGATCAAATGGTAGATCAATGTAGCTTTTTAAGTAGCCTCAAATTTTTTTCCAGAGGGTTTACTAGTTTACATTCCCACCAACAGTGTAAGAGGGTTCCTTTTTCCCTGCATCCTCGCCAACACCTTTGTGTGGTGTTGCTAATGATGGCTATTCTAACAGGGGTGAGGTGGAATCTTAGTGTGGTTTTAATTTGCATTTCCTTTATTGCTAGAGATGGTGAGCATTTTTCATGGTTTTTTGGCCATTTGAATTTCTTCTTTTGAGAAGTTCTGTTTAGTTCACTTGCCCATTTCTTTATTGGTTCATTAGTTTTGGGGAGAATTTAGTTTTTTAAGTTCCCTATATATTCTGGTTATCAGTCCTTTGTCTGATGTAGCTGGCAAATATTTTCTCCCACTCTGTTGGTGTTCTCTTCAGTTAGGACCATTTCTTTGTGAACAAAGGCTTTTTAGTTTTATGAGCCCATTTATCTATGCTATCTCCTAGTTGCTTGTGCTGCTGGGGTTCCGTTGAGAAAGTATCTTACCTATACCTACTAACTCCAGAGTATTTCCTACTCTTTCCTGTATCAACTTTAGAGTTTGTGGGTCTGATATTAAGATCCTTGATCCATTTTGATTAATTGGTATAGGGTGATAATACATGGATCTAGTTTCAGTTTTTTTGCAGACTGCTAACCAGTTTTCCAGCATTTGTTGAAGAGGCTGCTATTTCTCCATCGTATATTTTTTAGCTCTTTGTCAAAGAAAGTTGGTTATAGGTGTGTGGCTTCATATCTGGGTCCTCTATCGTCCACTGGTCTTCATGTCTGTTTTTGTGCCAGACCATGCTGTTTATTTTATTGCTTTTTGTAATATAGTTTGAAGTCAGAAATCGTGATACCTCCGGCATTGTTCTTTGCACTGAGTATTGCCTTGGCTATTCGTGGCCTCTTTGTGTTTCCATAAAATTTCTCAGGTAGATTTTGATCTCTTAATGAATGTCATTGGAATTTTGATGGGAATTGGCATTAAACATGTAGATTACTTTGGGAGTATAGACATTTTTACTATGTTGATTCTACCAATCGCATGAGCATGGGAGATCTCTCCACTTTCTATAGTCTTCCTCAATCTCTTTCTTTCAGAAGTGTAAGTTTTCCTTTAAGAGGTCTTTCACATCCTTTGTTAGGTTTACACTAGGTATTGATTTTTTTGAGGCTATTGTAAATGGAATTGTTTTCATACATTCTTTTTCAGTTTGCTCATTGTTAGTGTATAGAAATGCTAATGATTTTCTATGTTGATTTTATATTCTGCTAACCTTACTATAGCTATTGATGATGTCTAGAAGCTTCTGAGTAGAGTTTTTTGGGTCTTTAAGGTATAGATCATGTCGTCTGCAAATAGGGAATATTTTGACAGTTGCGTTACCTATTTTGTTTCCTTTTATTTGCCTTCTTCTTGCGCCTATTGCTCTGCAGGAATTCCAGTACATGTTGAATGGAGTGGAAGATAGTGATCCTTGTCTGGTTCCTGATTTAAGGCAATGGTTTAGTTTTTCTCCATTAAACGTATAATGCTGGCTGTAGTTTGTCAAATATAGCTTTATACTGTTTGAGTGCTTTCGTTCTATCTAGTTCTTCTAGAGTTTTTATCATGAAATGGTGTTGACTTATCAAAGGCTTTTTCTGCATCTATTTGAGATGATCAAGTGTTTTTGTCTTTGCTTCTGTTAAGTGCTGTTTATTACGTTTATCTTGATTTCATATGTTGAACCACCCTTGCATTCCGTGGGATGAAGCACCTACTTGGTGCTGGTGGAATAATCTTTTTGAGTGTTGGTTGAATTTGGTTTGCCATTATTTTGTTGAGGATATTTGCATCAAGTGTTCATTAAAGGAGATGGGCCTATAGTTCTCCTTCTTTGAAGGGTCTTTGCCTGGTTTTGGGATAAATTGTAGATACTGGCTCATTTAAAATGCTTGTTCGGCAGTGTTTCCTTCCCTTTCTATTGCGGTGGAACAGTTGTAAGGAGGTGTTGGGTATCAGGTTCTTCCTTAGTAAGGTCTGATAGAATTTTTGCAGACAAACAATTAGGTTTCCTGGACTTTTCTTATTGGGAAAGACTCTTGATTGCTGCTTCTATTTCATTTTGTGTTACAGATCTATTCAGGGTAATTTCCTTTGGGTTAGTTTTTGATGATCATATGTATGTTAGGAAATCTGTCTATTTCTTTAAGATTTTCAAATTTTTTGAATTATAAGTTTCTCGAAGTAGTCTCTGATTGGATTTCCTGGACTTCCCATTGGTGGTTGTTGTTATCTCCCCTTTTGCATTCCTAATTCTACTTAATTTGGTTTTTCTCTCCTCATTTTACTTCAGGTTTGCCGGGGGTCTATCGATCTTGTTAATTTTTTCAAAGAAAACAACTTTTGTTTCGATTAATTCTTTGTATGGTTTTTTGGTTTCTATTTTCATTGATTCAGCTCTATTTTTTTAATTATTTTCTCTCCTTCTATTTGTTTGGGATTTGCTTGTTCTTGTTTTTTCTAGGAGGTTTGAGATGTATCATAGGTCATTGATTTGGGGGATCTTTCAGTCATGGCTATAAACTTTCCTCTCAGGACTGCCTTGCTGTGTCCCATAGTTTCCGGTTAGGTTGGTGTTTTCATTTTCTTGATTTCCAGGAACTTTTAATCTCTTTTATTTCATCGCATGGATCCATTGTTCCATTAAGTAATTGAGTCTAATTTAGTTTCCACTGTTTGCCATTTTTTTATCTTTATTTTTTGTTGTGAGTTCTAGTTTTACTGCATTGTGATCAGATAGTATGCATGCGTATAATTTCTATTTTCTTATATTTGCTGAGGCTTGCTTTGTGCTCTGAGGATAGTGATCTGTTTTGGAAAGGTTCTATGGGCTGCTGAGAAAGAATGTAGATGTGTAGGATAGAAGTTGGATGAACATGTGTCTGTAGACATCAAGTAAGTCCATTTATTCTATTGTATATTTTAGATCTTGGAATCTTTATTGATTTTTTTGTTTGGATGACCTATCTCTTGCTGAGTAAATGGGGTGTTAAAAGTTCTCCCCACAAACCACTGTGTTTGCATTAAATATGCTTTAGGTCTTTTTCAGGGTATGTGTGATGAAATTGGCGTGCGTTGACATTGGGTTGCATAACAGATTGATGATTATTATTTCCTTTTAGTCTATTTCCTCTTTTATTTAGTAGGAGTATCCTTCTTTATCTCGTCTTGATCAATG